GGCAAGGACATTAAATGCACAAATGTAAAACAAAACTAGCTGACAGGATGACTTTGGAATATACTCACCTAATAAATTCACTGTGCCATTGCTATGGTATAAATGATGGGACAAGTGCAGAGGAGCCTAATGAATATATAGTATACTTTATCATCTATTCAATCCAGCAAACCATTGCAAATGTCACTCTGTACAATTTAATATCATCATACTGTTTCTTCAAACTTGCACAACTATGTACAGTATTTATTCATGAGAATATTAAATAATTTTTAAAAAGTTCTAGGATTAATTTGTTTCTGTCAGTTCAATTAAACTTGACCCATTTTCTAGACTGTCTGTTTAAGAGACAACACTGGGAGAACATTTTAAGTATAGACCGTTACAGCTACGCTTTTTAGATTTAGTGTGGCTTTTTATTGGCAATCAAAGAAATATATTTTGCACTGCAAACAGAAAAGGTGTTTTAAACTGCCCTTGATCTTTGTGAGCCCTTGGAAGATTTGCATTAAAATGGTGCCTCCTAACACCATTATCTTACTGATTATTTTACATCACTGTAGTTACTGTCCCAGCAGTTGCCATGTGCCCTGAATGAAGGGTAATCTGATCATCTTGTCAACATTTATTTACATTTGGGTGGATGGGATATTTCAGAGTGAGATTAAAACACTAATCTACTCATGTGATGTTTAAGTGCTATGATAACACTGTATGGCGATCGTGTGTTTGTGTTTGTGTGTGTGTTTTGCAGTGGCAGAGTATTCAGTATTCAGTATTCAGATCCTCTGCTTAAGAAAAACTAACTATACTGCAATATAGAATAACAGAATACTTCATTATAAGTAACGATCCTGGATTGAAAATGACACGTATGCAACACGAAACATTTTGTTAATAATACTAAAGTACAATTTAATGAAAATACCCAAGTAATTTACATGGATACATTTGGATACATATACTGTATATATGATTAGATAAATAGCTATACTAGATAGATATACACTGAATGGGTACTTCAATAGGCACACCTGCACAATTGTATGCACTACAATGCCACATTTTGGCCTTAACATCTGTGTTTATGAAGCTCAAAATGTTTCAGTTTTTGGTGAAATCGTCATAAATGTATAAATTCAATTATATGTTTAAGTTTTCACATGGGAGACTGGGGTTCAAATCCTGGCTGTGGTTACCTCTGATATGACAGACATGAACTAACAAAGTCATGGCAGCTCAGACGTCGCCCAGATAGACAAGGTCAGTGTCAGGACAACCTTCTTCAACATGGTGAAGAAGGAAGAACTGGATGTGCAACCAACACTAGATGCTGAATTCTCGTTCACCACACCCCCTCCACTAGAGGGCACAGCCACTGATATGAGGCAGAAGATGGATAACCCCCAAGTTACAGTAAACTCGCTGCTGTTCTGCATTAGCCTGAACCCCCTGAGTCAGATCATTACAAGGAGTGGGTACAGATACAAGTTCAAGCTACCATCAGCCACCTCCTCTACATGGATGACATCAAACTATATACCAAGAACAAATGGGACACTGACTCACTGATCCACCTGACATGGCTCTTCAGTGAGGACATCAGGATGTCATCTGGACTGGAGAAGGGTGGCCGGATGATAGTAGTTGTTTTTACACTGAGATCCTGTGATACTGCTGTTCTAAAGGGTCATCACTATCCCACCCTTGTGCTGTTCATACAGATCAAGCTAAGGGCAGTATAATCCTGAGCCAGCCTGTGAATTCAGACAGCAGCCCGGCATTCCGCACCAGAGGCGAGAAGCGACGTTGCTCTGTGTCAACTGTGACGTAAATTTTGCGCCGGTAGTCTACAAAGTGAAACAACAATGGTGGGAGAGATAAGTGCCAGGGGGCCATATAAGCAGATATACAGACTGCCTACAAGTACCTCTGTCCAGAATACTGCAGTGCTAAGCATAGCTAAGATACTGTGCACAACCCTTAAACTCCCAGGCCTTCCGAGGCTGAGGAAGATGTACACCGTCCATAGGGGTGAGAAGGGAATATATACTTTTTTTTTTAAATGCAGACTTATATTTACTTATCATTTCACATCGTCATACAAGTACTTTTACGTATGTGCCATATCTGAATGAACGTACGTCATGAAATGATGGTGGGGTGAAGGATAAATAGCAGGCTGCTCATTAGCCTGCTGCTTCATAAGAGCAGCTTGAAGATGCGGTCATCTGTTCAGCCAGACTCCTGTTGTGAGCACTTACTTTATTGAGGATTAAAAATGTATATGCAACTGAATGAGCAATAATAAAGCCAGCCATTTCTAATTTATTTACTCATAAAGGCCACAGTTGGGAGCCATTATACACCTGAATTCAGTATCATCAGTAAGATGCAGTATATCCAAAATGACTAAATCATTACAATAAAAAGACAAGACTATTATAATGAGAACTAACCCTGAAAGACACTCTTACGAGACATCACCTTTTAAGCCTATCCGACAGGGTGTTGTCATGCGCATATGGTGCGATCTCCCTTTAGGAGTAACAGAGTGGGAAGAGCACCGATGATGGAAATTGCTTTGTGCCACCAAGTAATG